CCAGGCGCGCGGCTGCCTCCAGACTCTGTCTCCCCCCGTGGCGCCATCGCCACGGAGCGCTTCCCCCAGCAGCTGCAAAGGGCGGGGCACCGGGTGCTCCGCCCATTCAGAACCCAGGGTCCCATCACACCTACTTTGATGGAAAAACACAATGAATCAGATGTTGTACAAGGAGCAAGTTGTAGGCTTTTACTTCAAGGTTCAGCTACACTGAACCTACACATTACATAAGACAAGGAGAAATATGCTCGGAGAGGCGCTTCCCCCAGCAGCTGCAAAGGGCGGGGCACCGGGTGCTCCGCCCATTCAGAACCCAGGGTCCCATCACACCTACTTTGATGGAAAAACACAATGAATCAGATGTTGTACAAGGAGCAAGTTGTAGGCTTTTACTTCAAGGTTCAGCTACACTGAACCTACACATTACATAAGACAAGGAGAAATATGCTCGGAGAGGGAGATGTGAAAGATATCAAGAGGTAAATCAGCTTTATCTTGTTCACTCTCACACTTCACATCTGCAACTTTAAGATTAAACAGAAGTCCCACATAAACAATGAAGAGATCCAAACCATAGGTACAACTAAAGCTCAACTTATCAGCTAATCTTATGTACATCTGTACAAAAAAAGGTATATACACAATGTTTGTATATTTTCTGCAGGAGGAGCCCTTAGCTACTCCCTCTACACAAAAGGATAACCCTTCATTCACATATTTTACAAACACAAAAATAGAGATTTCCAGGATTAAATTGGCTTTGTATTGCACCCACATGTCTTCAGGCTTCATGGTTCCAAGCCATAAGAAGCCATGGAGACCAGGACAGGTGCCATGTGCTTTAGTCTCTTGAAAAGTTCTGCACAGAATATTAAAGCCCCAAAACAAACAGGTGAAGTACAACATACTATCAGGACTCGTTCCAATCTAAACAAAGAGCTACCCACTCTCCTAGAAGTCACTGCCGATATTCCAGTTCATCTACACTGATTACTTTGGATGGCATGGAAGGAAGGGTCTGTTGCAAAACATCTGAGCCAAACCATTTTGCAAGGCCAATAGGTGAATCACTTCTCTGGTTGGTGCAATGGTCAAGCTGTGAGGATACATGAGGCAGCCCAGTCCGAGATGCCACATTCTGAACACCAACAGCAGGTCCCTGTGCTCCAGAGGCTGGAGAGTGGAGAACTATTAGGAGGTAGGAACAGAAAAGTTAGAGCCAGGAAACCTTTTTCACATCTCAAGAGGACTTGTGAATGCACAATCAATATGGAAAATGGACAGGGCAAACAAGCTACTATGGGGTTCAGTGTTTTTCTAGATTAATAACTGCTGTTGCACAGTAGTTTCAACATGCATTTGTTGACTTCAAGTAGTACATTGATCTCCATCTTTTAGATGAGATCTGCATGTTGTTCCCTCATGCTCACAAAGATTGACTAGAGTGTTTTAAAGTTGTGGGTTACCAGAGCACGCCCCCCCCCCCGATAAGGGAAAAGGTAAAGCAGCTGCTCAGCTTGAGTAGGTGGTATAAGCACTAACTGTACCACGGCATAAAATTCACTCCCACCAGCAGACAGAGGCGAGAAACCATCACCCCATGATAGAGGGGGAGTATAATCATGCTACAGTTAAGTGGAAAGGAAGCTTTGAAAGTCTGAACCTATCTAGGAAACTAATCCATGAGACCTAGGCTTCAGGGGAGAGCGTAGATAGCTTTGAAAAGTTTTCCCTATAGCAGAGACACCAAGTACCTTCAGTTAGCCATGTTCATTAATTGAACACAGACTAGTCAGGGG